ACAAAACATTAACGATGAAATCATCATGACAAATCATTTACACTCATGTTTGACAAATCATTTACACTCATTATGATGAAGGATATACGATGAAGTATTGACACATTCATTTACGCTCATGTTTGACAAAGGATATACGATGAAGTTTCGACGCATTCATTTACACTCATTACGATGAAGAAGTCATGACAAAACATTAACGATGAAGAAGTCTTGATAAAGCATATACGTTCATGTCTGACGATAAAGTTTGACGATAAAGTTTTCACAAATCATTCCCGATGAAGTTTGATAAAGTGTTTTAACGTTCATGTCTGACGTTCATGTCTGACGTTCATGTCTGATAAAGTTTGACGATAAAGTTTGACGATAAAGTTTTCACAAATCATTCCTGATAAAGTTTGATGAAGTTTGACGATGAAGTTTGATAAAGTGTTTTAACGTTCATGTCTGACGATGAAGTTTGACGATGAAGTTTGACGATGAAGTTTTCACAAATCATTCCTGATGAAGTTTGATGAAGTTTGACGATGAAGTTTGATAAAGTGTTTTAACGTTCATGTCTGACGATGAAGTTTGATGATAAAGTTTGATAAAGTGTTTTAACGTTCATGTCTGACGATGAAGTTTGACGATGAAGTTTGATAAAGTGTTTTAACGTTCATGTCTGACGATGAAGTTTGACGATGAAGTTTGACGATAAAGTTTGACGTTCATGTCTGACGATGAAGTTTGACGATAAAGTTTTCACAAATCATTCCCGATGAAGTTTGATGAAGTTTTCACAAAGTTTCACAAATCATTCCCGATAAAGTTTGACGATAAAGTTTGACGATAAAGTTTTCACAAATCATTCCTGATGAAGTTTGATGAAGTTTGACGATAAAGTTTGATAAAGTGTTTTAACGTTCATGTCTGACGATGAAGTTTGACGATAAAGTTTGACGATGAAGTTTGATGATAAAGTTTGATAAAGTGTTTTAACGTTCATGTCTGACGATGAAGTTTGACGATAAAGTTTGATAAAGTGTTTTAACGTTCATGTCTGACGTTCATGTCTGACGATGAAGTTTGACGATGAAGTTTGATAAAGTGTTTTAACGTTCATGTCTGACGATGAAGTTTGACGATAAAGTTTGACGATGAAGTTTGATGATAAAGTTTGATAAAGTGTTTTAACGTTCATGTCTGACGATGAAGTTTGACGATAAAGTTTGATAAAGTGTTTTAACGTTCATGTCTGACGATGAAGTTTGACGATGAAGTTTGATAAAGTGTTTTAACGTTCATGTCTGACGATGAAGTTTGACGATGAAGTTTGATGATAAAGTTTGATAAAGTGTTTTAACGTTCATGTCTGACGATGAAGTTTGACGATGAAGTTTGATAAAGTGTTTTAACGTTCATGTCTGACGTTCATGTCTGACGATGAAGTTTGACGATAAAGTTTTCACAAATCATTCCTGATGAAGTTTGATAAAGTTTGACGATGAAGTTTGATAAAGTGTTTTAACGTTCATGTCTGACGATGAAGTTTGACGATAAAGTTTGACGATGAAGTTTGATGATAAAGTTTGATAAAGTGTTTTAACGTTCATGTCTGACGATGAAGTTTGACGATAAAGTTTGATAAAGTGTTTTAACGTTCATGTCTGACGATGAAGTTTGACGATAAAGTTTGATAAAGTGTTTTAACGTTCATGTCTGACGTTCATGTCTGACGATGAAGTTTGACGATAAAGTTTGACGATAAAGTTTGACGATAAAGTTTTCACAAATCATTCCTGATAAAGTTTGATGAAGTTTGACGATGAAGTTTGATAAAGTGTTTTAACGTTCATGTCTGACGTTCATGTCTGACGATGTAGTTTTCACAAAGTTTGATAAAGTGTTTTAACGTTCATGTCTGACGTTCATGTCTGACGTTCATGTCTGACGATGAAGTTTGACGATGAAGTTTGATAAAGTGTTTTAACGTTCATGTCTGACGTTCATGTCTGACGATGAAGTTTGACGATAAAGTTTTCACAAATCATTCCTGATGAAGTTTGATAAAGTTTGACGATGAAGTTTGATAAAGTGTTTTAACGTTCATGTCTGACGATGAAGTTTGACGATAAAGTTTGACGATGAAGTTTGATGATAAAGTTTGATAAAGTGTTTTAACGTTCATGTCTGACGATGAAGTTTGATGATAAAGTTTGATAAAGTGTTTTAACGTTCATGTCTGACGATGAAGTTTGATGATAAAGTTTGATAAAGTGTTTTAACGTTCATGTCTGACGATGAAGTTTGACGATAAAGTTTGATAAAGTGTTTTAACGTTCATGTCTGACGTTCATGTCTGACGATGAAGTTTGACGATAAAGTTTGACGATAAAGTTTGACGATAAAGTTTTCACAAATCATTCCTGATAAAGTTTGATGAAGTTTGACGATGAAGTTTGATAAAGTGTTTTAACGTTCATGTCTGACGTTCATGTCTGACGTTCATGTCTGACGATGTAGTTTTCACAAAGTTTGATAAAGTGTTTTAACGTTCATGTCTGACGATGAAGTTTGACGATAAAGTTTGATAAAGTGTTTTAACGTTCATGTCTGACGATGAAGTTTGACGATAAAGTTTGACGTTGAAGTTTGACGATAAAGTTTGATAAAGTGTTTTAACGTTCATGTCTGACGTTCATGTCTGACGTTCATGTCTGATAAAGTTTGACGATGAAGTTTGACGATAAAGTTTTCACAAATCATTCCTGATGAAGTTTGATGAAGTTTGACGATGAAGTTTGATAAAGTGTTTTAACGTTCATGTCTGACGATGAAGTTTGACGATAAAGTTTGACGATGAAGTTTGATGATAAAGTTTGATAAAGTGTTTTAACGTTCATGTCTGACGTTCATGTCTGACGATGAAGTTTGATAAAGTGTTTTAACGTTCATGTCTGACGATGAAGTTTGACGATGAAGTTTGATAAAGTGTTTTAACGTTCATGTCTGACGTTCATGTCTGACGTTCATGTCTGACGATGTAGTTTTCACAAAGTTTGATAAAGTGTTTTAACGTTCATGTCTGACGTTCATGTTTGACGATAAAGTTTGATAAAGTGTTTTAACGTTCATGTCTGACGATGAAGTTTGACGATGAAGTTTGAGTTAGTATACATATCAAGGGTACGGCGGCACTGCGCGCCTCCTTACCCCTGATATGTGAATTTGACACTTTACGAAACCGTTAACGTATATTTTACAACACAAACGACAACACTAACTTAACCTTAAATATTTACAAAGCCACCAACCACTTCACCTCACTAATGTAAAAAAATAAACGTTCTCACTTACAAAAGTATTGCAACTCCTCCCATTGCTGTGCTTCATATAACAGCTCATAATCTTCTGACTCACTTTCTTCTTCATATAGGTCAAAATCACTGTCATAGTTTATACCTGTAAGTTTTGACAAAGCTAATGAAACACGCTTACCGTTTGTATCATATGCTTGTATAAACTTTCCATTATGCTTGTAGTCATAAACGCTCAAACTAACTTTACCCTTTCTCCCTCGTATCTGATAGAATGTATTTTCACGAGGAACGAAGAACAAATTCTTGAACTCATGACCGTTGTAGTTTGTTATCTCAATAGTTTTCGTCATTTATATAAAAATAAAATAAAAAATAAAATAAAAAATAAACTTAAAATTAATGATATCACCACCCTCACACGTATGAAAACATCCATTTAAACTTAGGTGAAGTGGTGAGATCTCACCTCTTTTTTCACCTGTTTTTTCACCCTGTTGAATTTTCATGACTTCTTCATCGTAAATGTTTTGTCAAGACTTCTTCATCGTAATGAGCGTAAATGATCCAAAAATATATTTTAGGTGAAGTGGTGAGATCTCACCTCTTTTTTCACCTGTTTTTTCACCCTGTTGAATTTTCATGACTTCTTCATCGTAAATGTTTTGTCAAGACTTCTTCATCGTAATGAGCGTAAATGATCCAAAAATATATTTTAGGTGAAGTGGTGAGATCTCACCTCTTTTTTCACCTGTTTTTTCACCCTGTTGAATTTTCATGACTTCTTCATCGTAAATGTTTTGTCAAGACTTCTTCATCGTAATGAGCGTAAATGATCCAAAAATATATTTTAGGTGAAGTGGTGAGATCTCACCTCTTTTTTCACCTGTTTTTTCACCCTGTTGAATTCATTGCTTTATAACTCTCTTCCTTGGTTTCTTCATTTTTCATCATTGACTTTCTCCAACTCTTCTAACTTCTTCTTAAGTTCAACAATGTTGTCCTCATGATGTTTAATCTTTCTCAAAATTCCTTCTCTATCTAATGGTTGCTTTATCTTTCTAAACTGAACTCTACCATCCTTCATAGTATGAATGTAAAAACCTTCTGGAATAGTTCCTGATTTAATGTATTCTACCAAAAACTTTTGTTTCATTGCTTCAGTGACTTTAGTCGTCATTTCAATCAAATAAAAATTATAATATTAAATAAAAATAACGTTATTTTTCAGTAAGGAAACGCAGGAGTTTTACGATTTATTTGAGGAGTAGGTTCTGGTTTAAATGTTGGAGTCGGTTTAGGAGTTGACTTTTGAACAGGAGTTTGTACTTCCATAGGTTCAGGAGTCATTGAAGGTTTTGCTTGTGAAGGTGTCGGAGTTTGTTTAACTTCAGCTACTTCAGTATTATTTACAACATTTGCTTTATTTCTTTTCAACATCATTACTGCTCCTGCTGTAGCTAGCAAACCTAGTGGGAGACCATATTTTATATAAGGACTTGACCAAATGCTATTTTTGACAGGAGCTGGTGGAACACCTAACCTTGGTGAGACTGCTCTTTGCCATTGTGCAGCTCGTAAGAAATATTCAATAGGTGCTCCATAATCGTTTGGTAAAGTTTGTTTCATAGATGGTGAAGGTTCACGAGAGCTTGATGAAGAACTCATTTATAAGCTTTAAAAATAAACGTTCATCCTTTATTCCTCACTGTCGTCCGTAGCTAAGTTATAGTCATCTAATCTTATTATGGGGATGCCATTAGCACGCACCTGAATGGCAAAGCAACAATCCCTCATAAATCCAATAAGTGGCTTTGGTACGTTTTCAGTTGCTAGTTCAATAGGTCCTTTAACAGACAATTTGTATGTTATTGGAGCAGTAGATGTTTGACCTTGCTGGAAGCAAAAGTCCACTTCTGTTGGAAAACCACATAAGAAATGTGTGTTGTCATAGCTATCCCATTTATGTTCCACACTACCATCATCCACCAATGACCTCATAACATCTTCATTAAATCCTATCATATCATTGTTTGTATTGCAAGCGTTCGCAACCATTTCATAAAATACAGGTCCATATGATTTTTCAGGTTCTGCAGGCATATTTCCATAAGCTCCCATGGAAAGCTGAAGATATTTAAACTTAGGGTTCTCAAAATTAACATAATAGTTGTCTTTCTTTCTAAATAGTGCCCAAATACTTTTAACATTAATAGGCGTATAAGCTGTTGTAAATGTTGCACTTGAACTATCTGTATTCTTTGAGAATGAACCGTCCATAGGAATCCAATCCATAACTTTAACAGGAAAACATAAAGCCTCGTTTGTATAATGTTCTACAAGTTCTGTATAAATGTTAGGGTCTAAAGAGAATGACTTTGGATGAATGAAACATTCATTAAAATCCATCTTTGTTCGAAATAGTGAGATATAAAAATTGCTCACATTTGCTCACATTTTGGCACTTTTTTGTACGTTTGTCAAAAAATTGTGAGGAAGATCTCACAAAAATAGTCAAAATGTGAGCAAATTTTGAGAAGTGCTCACATTTTGACATACAATTATTTTCATACGTTTTTTTGATGAATTCTAATAAAACTTCATTACCACTTTCAGAACGAAGCGTAACTTTTCAGCACGTAACGCTCTATCATGTGTAGTGACATATTATTCAAAAAAACTCAGATTGCTTATCTTATAATAACAATTTCATTAGAAAAAATGCACGATTTCACGCTAAAACTTTGAAGCAATTCTTAAATTCGGATAAAAAATCGATATGTATTACACTTTAAACTTCAAAAAATGGTTCAAAATTTAGACTTAGTTTATCTTAACAATATAGCAGATTTTAAGCCGAACAAGTAGGAGTAATAGAAATAGCTCTTGAAAATAATTACAATTAGTAATATGTAAGTCAAAGTTCGAGTATTCTAATAAATAAACGTTCCGGATTTTCTTTACTACAAGAATCAATACTTAATATATAGAAGCAACAGTAAAAACTTATTAGAGATTCAAAAAGAAAGTTGACTAAAGAGAATCTTTTTATATAAGTAATTTTATTTTTTTGAAATACGAGATCGAATAAACATGTATTTTATTTTATTACTATAATAATACGTTTTTACATAGTAAGAAAGTTTAGAGACTGAAATGAAATTAAAAATTGAGAAAAAAATAAAGCTTTTCTATAAAAATTCATATTAATATATAGTATAATGATATTACAATTTATTGATAGTTGTGTTAGAAAAAAGGTACATTCACTATTTTTGACAAAATTTTAAATTTTCATGGGGTTGTAAATCTTATAATAACTAGATGAATAAGGAATAAATCCCAGTATGATGTGCATCATTATATTAAACACTATATGTAAGGCTGGTGATTCTATTAACACTTATGAAGATCTATAGTATTTGAGCAGATAAATTTGATAATTTCCAAAACTCTTATATTTCAAAATTAAAGTGTGCGAATGCATTTAAATGAGAGCAAAAAGAGATTGATGCTGTTAAAACTATGTGTTAATTTGCAATTATTTCGCATCACAAGAACTACCCAGTAAATTCGGCTATCTTTCTTTGCAATTATTCTCCATTATACATATAATATAATGGTTAGGGTTTGAAGAAAAGTTACTAGAGAATTATTGACTTTTGAAATAATGCAGAATTTTACTTGAAGAAATCATTAATTTATGAGTTCCAAATTGCTAAGCATGACGAAGGATCATTAAATTTGCTACAATTAAATACACTTATTGCAGAATTAAGATTTTTGAAATTAAAAGTTTGAAATATTGCCTTTTTGAATAAAAATTTAAATTTTATTATATAATCATGATAATATCTTATAGAAATTAAAAGAAAATATTTTAAACCATTCAAATATTTTGAATGTCTTATCAATTTAAAATATTAAAAGATAGCTTGATTTTATCATCATTAGTTGTTATCAAAGTTTTCTTCTTTTAATGAACAACAGTAAATGATTTGTTAATTACTTGTCTTCCTTTTTCGCAGCAAAATCGAAAGTTATGATGATAATCTTGCTCTCAATTTTGAAACTCTCTGATTTACAAGTAAGCATTCCTTTGGAAAAGCAGTCCTATTCTGTTTTCAAGATATTTTAAAGCCTCAATTTCATACAATGCGCAGATCTATTCGAAATTGCAAGAACTCTCAAGAAAAATGCAGCAGCAAAGAAGATTCCATAGTTTCTAGCATCAAAAATTTACAACCTTAATACAACAGTTAAAGAGAAGCTCGAAAAGAAAATATTTAACCATAAAGCTGGAAACCATTCGATATCTACTATTGGATCTAATAAAAAGTTAATTATAACATATTTAACATGCTATTTGTTGACTTTGTTCCATTATATTACCATATATATCTTTTTGAAATCTAAAATATTTTTACAATTTTAACCATGTGTTGTTGAAACCATATATCAATCTTAGCTAAAGTATAGTTTATGAGTCTGTCACCATCTAACGTATGAATTTTCAAAAATGTCAAATATGTTCATTTTTTCTGTAGATTCAGCCATAATTTCACGTTGTTATACTATTCAACTATTATTTAATATTTTTATCGATTTAAATATATGATGAGATGCTTAGTTCTCCTGGAAATCGATTTTTAATCGCAATTTTAACTTTCCAAAAAAAATTCAAAAATAAAAATCCCTCTCAATTTTCTAAGTTTTATAACTCGCCAAATCTCTAGCCAATTTTTTTGGCCCGTATAAATATTGTTTGGCACTATATAGGGATGCTATTTATCATATTTTCATCCCATTTTACTGTTATCGCCTAGTGAATGTACCTTTGTTAGAAAAAATATACAACTAAAATGTCAGTTTTAAAAAATTTAAAAATTATATTAAAACAATAGTCATTGAGGATGGTTAATTGCAAAAACTCAAGAAACTATCATTATCTCTCTTTGCTTAACACATCTACAACTGGAAACATCATTCCAAATGAAGTTCCTCAGTCTCGTCAAAATTTCTCTCTCATCTACAACAAGCTTAACTCAAAACTCAAGAAACTATCATTATCTCTCTTTGCTTAACACATCTACAACTGGAAACATCATTCCAAATGTTGCATTCAAGAATCCTATTATTATTCTTTCTTTCAATCTTTTATATTTACTCTTTAAATTCTAATATAATATAAATTCTTCATTTCCTTTGTTTAAACTTTTTTCATTTTAATACCATTTTATCAGATAGTAATTTTTGTTTTTCTCTGACCAAAAATCTTCTCAATTTAACTCCACCTTCACAAAAATTCATTGAGTTCTCTCAAAATTCTTGTATTTTTGGTATACTTAAAGTATCATCTTCAAATATTTTTTTGGAGAAAATTGACTTTGCATAATATCGTAATACTTTTTAAGGCAGATAGATTTACCGTAAGTTGAAGAACTTTTAATTTGAACAGAAATTATTCAACAAATATTCTTTTTATTTGATCAATAAATTGTAATATCATTATACTATATATTAATATGAATTTTTATAGAAAAGCTTTATTTTTTTCTCAATTTTTAATTTCATTTCAGTCTCTAAACTTTCTTACTATGTAAAAACGTATTATTATAGTAATAAAATAAAATACATGTTTATTCGATCTCGTATTTCAAAAAAATAAAATTACTTATATAAAAAGATTCTCTTTAGTCAACTTTCTTTTTGAATCTCTAATAAGTTTTTACTGTTGCTTCTATATATTAAGTATTGATTCTTGTAGTAAAGAAAATCCGGAACGTTTATTTATTAGAATACTCGAACTTTGACTTACATATTACTAATTGTAATTATTTTCAAGAGCTATTTCTATTACTCCTACTTGTTCGGCTTAAAATCTGCTATATTGTTAAGATAAACTAAGTCTAAATTTTGAACCATTTTTTGAAGTTTAAAGTGTAATACATATCGATTTTTTATCCGAATTTAAGAATTGCTTCAAAGTTTTAGCGTGAAATCGTGCATTTTTTCTAATGAAATTGTTATTATAAGATAAGCAATCTGAGTTTTTTTGAATAATATGTCACTACACATGATAGAGCGTTACGTGCTGAAAAGTTACGCTTCGTTCTGAAAGTGGTAATGAAGTTTTATTAGAATTCATCAAAAAAACGTATGAAAATAATTGTATGTCAAAATGTGAGCACTTCTCAAAATTTGCTCACATTTTGACTATTTTTGTGAGATCTTCCTCACGATTTTTTGACAAACGTACAAAAAAGTGCCAAAATGTGAGCAAATGTGAGCAATTTTTATATCTCGAAATAGTTGCTGGTTTACAGTTGTAATAGTAACTGTTCCACTAGCTTCTACTGCCTTCGTTATCATAGTGAATGGTTCATTCCATGGAACAAATTTATTTGTCGGTGGATTTGAATCTGAAGCAAATGCAACTTTAAGAGTTGGATTGAAAGCAATGATATCATTTACAGATATAGATGTGCATTGTAAGGCGTCGCTACTGAACTTTACTTTAAGCTGAATGTTTCCTGCAAAAGCTGGAATAAATCGAATAGCTTCTAATGGAAGGAATCTTCTAACAGGAATTCTTAAACGAAGCTTAAAATCAAATGATTTTCCTGCTGTAATTGGACCACTAACAATTTGTCCTGTTCTGCATGTTCCCGAATGACTCCATACATCTTCATGTCGAGTCTTTGAGAAAACATCTACTTTCTTTATTTGTTCGGTAGTTTGTGAGTTTGAAGTTATATATGCTTCTTCTCTTGCGTTGTCTTGAGAATATACGATACGACCATTTGCAAGGATTTGATATCCAGCAACTGCATAGAAAGCGTCATCGAAACCAATCCAAAATCCTGGTGGGTTTGTTTTATTAGAACCTGAACCAATTTCTTTATCTACAATAAATTGACCTTCCATTTTATACGTAATGAATGTATTGTAAAGGTCCAACATATTTTCACCAGGAGGTGAGAGATTGAATGTTACCCATGTGTTATCTTTAGCAGTTCCAGGTTGTGATGGAATCTTTGCGTCAGAATATTTTCTATTAGTGTCACCAATTTGAACTGCATTGTCTATGATATCGAAATATGAGCGAATCTGATGAATATGCTCTGCTGGAGTAAATTCGTTTAACTGTTCGTTCTGCATGTATTTACTTCGGATAAAAATATCTATTTACTTCATTATTCTCACTCTTCTTCTTGGCATTCGTGGTGGAAGTTGTTTCTTGACATTTTCAATGAACTGTACATTCTCTTTTGTCTCAACTTCTTTCACTGGCGGGTCAGGGTTCTTTGACTCGTTTGTTTTTCAATGAAATTCACGAACTTTGCAATAAGCTCTTGGTTCGTTATTGAAAGTACATCTGGCTTCTTTTCTTCTTGTTCTATTGACTTTTCAGTTTGAATAGAAGGTTTTATATGGGCTTCGTGGACTTCACCCTTGCCATACACCTTAATGTTGTCGCTTTCTGCATTCGCTAATGGAACCTTTCTTTTTCTTACGTATATTTTACCATCTTTACTCTGACTTACGTAATAGAAAGGATGTTGTATTCCTCTTGCGTCATTTAATATAATAGACTCTCGCTCTGATTTTGACAAGCTCATTTTACATCGTTAAAGTTTTAATTTTGTTTTTTATCTGCAGTCAAATGACTCAGACAAGTCCTACGGACAAGACCCAAGGGGTCATAGATGTTGAAGCATTGAAGAAAGAAATTCGCGAGCAAATTTTATCCGAACTGAAGGAACAAAAACAAGAACAAAAGCCAGAGAGACCAAAGAGAAAACTTAGTGAAAAACAACTTGCTGCATTAGCTGCTGGAAGACAAAAGAACCCACGTTTGCTGGCGAAGAAAGCTAGAGAAGAAGCTGAAGCAAAGAAAGAGTAAATGGTTTATTTTTATCCGAATTAAATGTATAGACAAATACCTTTATCTGTTGCGTTCAGTAGTGAAAACCCTGACGTCAAAATAAAGGGGAACAGAGTAACGTTTAAGTTTCCAACAGACTGGATTGTGAACATAAATGAAGAGAAGTACATTGGCATAACATCTATGTATATAACACGTGCTTTCAGAAAGGTTGACTTTATACTTCAAGTCGAGATAGAAAATGACGAACAGTCTTTAAGCGCCCAAAACATTCACATATACAAATACTTTAAAGACGATACAACATTGTTGCAATTTATGATTTCATTTAATGAGATGTTCGAGAAAAAGTTCAACATTGAAGTACAAACTTTACAACCTTTACGTGAGTTTCTTGCACAACTGAAAGAAGAAGGTAGTCAGCCACAACTTATAGACTTTCATTATGAATTTAATGAAAATGAAGATGGAACTCATGACTGTCAGTTTGTTATATATTCACCATTCAATGAAGTAGCTAAAAAGAAAAAAAATCCATTACGTATAAGATTTCAAATCTCTGAACCCAATGAAGACTTCAAAAATGTTTTCAATTATGATGCAATGCTTCCGAGGAAAAATGAATTTTCAAAGATTGTAACACCTGGCATTTGGGATAGAAAGCAAGCTATATTATATTCAAACTTAAGTAAGGGAGTTGAAAATGAGTTCATTGGTCATACAAGAACTTCACCACTTCCTAACCCTAAATACTATAAATTAACTGGCTTCAATCGTGAGTTTTGGATAGACATGTTCTCCACTCATGACCATAACTGCCCAGTGTTCTTACCTCCAGACCATAAGGACTGTCTCTACATTGAAGCACAACTCTTAAACTCTACCATCGCAGTATTGTAAACGACTTCATGGGCTTCGCCTTGCCGCTAGCGGCTTATTTTTATCACGAATGACCTCATTGCTGACAAAAATAAATGACCTCAGAACTTCAACTTACGAATAAAGCTTGTTTTAGTCGTTATTGAGAAGTTAAACTTTTCAGCAAAGCAAGGACTAGAAGACTTACATAAGTCAAATCCAATCTCTTGACCGTCATAAAGTGCTTTGTAAAGTTTCATTAAACTGAACTCAGAGTCTTTGTCATATGTTCCTTGCGGAACCATTAAACCTTTATCTTCATCATAGAAACACTGAACAGAGTCAGGAAACATTTCATTAGCGGTTAAAGCAATAACATCTTGCTTCACGCCTTTCATTCTGCAGTGAAATGCAACTTCATTTAAATCATTCGTGAGTAAGTCTATGTAAGTCTTCTTTCCACAAAATATTGACTTGTATGCTAAACTTTGTTTTCCAGGTGTGATTTCTGCAAAGTCGCTATGAAATTGACCAAGGTTTTTACCAATGAGAACTCTTCCATAACGTTTCTCAAACTCTTCAGCTAAACGAGGGATATCTTCATTGTAGAGATGCATACTGTCGGTATCGCTATAAAAGATGTCCATTCCTAAGTCCTCAGCAGTACAGAATACTTCACACATTATTCTCTTCGACATAGACAGAATGTTAACACCAAGTGGACAGAAGTTAAAGTGTCTGCAAATGCTTTTTGTTAGCTTGAAAATAGTTTTATCTGAACCATCCAAACCTTCGAACTTCACTATATGGTTGTAGTTTCTGATGGTATATCTTATAGCATCTTTGTCATCTACTATGGTTATTTTTGACTCAATAGGAGATAAAATGGTTTTGCCATAAATGCTGTTCAGAATGAGCTTTATATTTTCTTGCAAAGGATTTCCTTCTTTCTTATACTTTAACCTTAACTCAAACAACTTCTTTACTTCATCTCTTATTCTAATATCTCTGTTTCCATCGTAATAGTATCCTTGCAACACTTCACATTTGACACCTTGATATTTTATGAGGTCTTGTAATGTTATATGGTCAACATACATTAAACAGCAAGTGTTTGAACTTCTGGGAACGTTAAGTTCTGGATTTAGTTCAGGGTCACAAACTATTAAAGGAAAGTGTCTATGTATTCCAATCTCTGTTATCTTAATGAGAACAAAGAAGCCAGACATAAACTTTTCACCAATGGGTTCCTTTTGGTCGTCATCGAATAAATGCTTTAACAAATATTCAGAACTTAACATCTCATCCTTCAATACTTTTGGAATACCTTCTAAAGTATAAAGTCTTGCTATAGCGGATGGATATAATGAAACAGCGTCGAAGTCAGCAATGAGTTTCTTTTCGCTCTTTTGTTTCATGTTATCTGACAGCATACATCTTCCACCTTGAATACAGCGTGAAATAAATTCTCTTGGTTTATTTGAGAGGTCATAAAGATTTCCATTCGGGAAGTATACTCTGTTCTCAAATAATTTGTTAGCAATAGAACAAATACTAACGTAGTCATATACGTTTAAATCAAATTCTTTCAATAAGTCATTGCGGAACTTTACAAAACCTTCTCTTAAAATTCTTACATCTTGTTTGCAGTAAAACGTGCTATATTTTTCTAAGTCGAAATGGTTTTCATCTATTCTGCAACCTTTGATGGAATCTATGTTTTTCATGAATGTATCCGCATCCCTGATAAACTTACACGCTTCAGAAATGACACCAGTTCTGTTGTCATTTGCTAACAAAACACTGCTGTAGTAGTTGTATGGAAATACTTCTTTCGGTCCTGTTTGTAAGTTAAACATAGCAGGAAATAGTTTAAGCTTCTTATTTATAACACTGTAAGAGTCTTTTATAATAATTGCCCTTCCTTTATATAAACCAGTTATTTGCATTGTTCGTGAACCTTTAATGATGGGAGTTCCTTTCACTTCTGTCATGTGTCTTAAGATGAAGTTTATATCATAACTGAGGTTATGGAAATATATTAAACTCTTGTCAGGAAGTCGCTCCAAAAATTCTGTTGCACAGTTCTGACCCCAAATGCTTTCACTCACTGAACCATCTTCACTGTCGTAACATATGTTAAAAGCTTTATGAAAGCCATCGGTACTGCACTCAAAGTCAGCAAAGAAAACATGCTCAGGAATGAACTTACATTTAGCTTTATTTACTTCTTTTGACTCGGCTTTCTTCTTCAGTTGTACACAATACTTTGGAGCATATGTCAAATCTTTAAATGGTGCAAGGTTCTGTTTATATAAGTCAGTCGTATATGTGAAAAGTTCTCCATAAGAAATAGGTTCGAAATATTTGCACTCCCACAATGTTTTCATAACATCCCATAACGGTGTTGTTCTATCATAACGAACTACATATTTGTTCTCTCTCTTTGTATAAATCTTCATCTGTTTCTCAATGTTCATTCCACCACAAGCTTTGAGAATTTCTTTGTAATTTCTGACGAAATATGTTGTCATTGGTAATCTTTCGTTTAGCATGTAGTGGTCTTCAACAAGAAGTAAGTCAATAGTTCGAGCAGTTTCACATTCTTTTGGTATGTATCTCTTTATTTCATTATGTCTTGAGTCATTGAAATAACCAATGGTAACATTAAATGCTATACCTGTTGCGTCAGAAATTTCTTGTACTTTACTTTGAGGAAAATCTCTAACTCTAATAACTTCACGCATGTGGTCAATAGTTTCTTCATTTACTCCAGCCTGAATGCAAGCATAAACGAAACAATTGTCTTCTGTCATAAGTGCTGCAGTTCTTTTGTTCAATTCATTGAAAATTTGGTAGCGCTCAAGATTTATAGGTAATGTGCAAAGATACTTCCAGAACTGACCGCTTCTCTTCTTATAAAACTTCTTTTCACCAAGGATTTCATTCCAGAAGTCATCTATATCTTGTTTATCTCCTGTTTGTTTAAGTCTGTTCAATAATCTTTTCTGTCTTTCTGTCAGTGTGCTTTCATCTCTATATGGTCGCTTCTGTGGCTTTCCTCTTAACATCTGACATCGTTAAGCCTTCATATTCAGTTAAATCATACATCTTTATTTCGTAAGATTCTTTATGTTTGTCAAGAAGAAGTCATAGTGCATTTCAACAATACCTGCAGCATTTGCTTCTATCTCTGATATAAAGTTCTCCTTCAAGAGCTGATGTAGTAATGTTCCAATATTATTGAGGTTTAACGTAGAAAATTCATACTTTCCACCAAGTTTATAACATACCATCCATCTTTGTTGGGAGTTTATTTTAATCTTCTCTAAGAGTCTCATGAAAACCTTACCGAAATGTTTGTGTAAGTAGTCTCTGTTTGGTTCATCTAAAGCTTCGATGTTAAAGTCAATGAGTCTATTGCCTGACTTCACATTTCTCTTCCTATTCTCTTCATCTTTCTTTAACCATCTCTCACCTTCTTTTGGTTTGTCGTCAATGGAACGAATGACATCGTTAGCTTTACGAACTTGTTCTATAGCACTTTTAAACATCTCTCTTCTCTGTTGTTTCAGTGTGTCGTCTCTTCTTCTTGTTTCACCAACGTTTGCATTTGTTATGTCAAACATTTCTCTTCTTACTTCATGAGGTACTGAACGTCTATGATATAAGTCAATAGCAATGTCATTTAAAGGAAATGCTATTGCATGAACTTCGTCCTCGCCGCGTTGCGGCTTTATGAACTCATGAATTCTATCATAACTTATTGCACCATTATAGTCATTGAGGATGTCAGCGAGTGCTTTTTTGTTTGTTGTGTAATGTTTTGCAACATCTATATTAGCTTCTGTAAGAAGTTGTTTTATTTCCGAGTGTTCTAACTTAGACAACTTCCGATACATCTTTAGTAGGAAATAAAAAAAATATTTTTTGAAAAAATAAACTTAGAAAAATTATTTCTTTCTATATTTGCCATTCCGAACTTCGAAAAGATGTTTTATACCAGCATAGAATTTTTCTCTAGAGCTTGGTCTTATATTGTTTTCATGACAATATTTTCTATATTCTTCATATAAAGCCTTTTTTTCATACATTTCATAAGGACAATCTAACCAGAATAGCGCATATCCATTTTCGTTATCTAGGTCTCTATATGTTTCTTCTGTTTGTAGAATTTCGCTTTCTCTATTTAGTTCTATGTCTATATATTGTGGCTTAAAAAGATGTGGGCAAGAAGGGTCTGGCGCTATGTAAAAAGTTAATTTTTCTGTCATCTTTTCTATCGGATAAAAAATATTTTTTTTGAAAAAATTAGATTAGATTTTTTTAAGTTATTTTTCAAAATAATTTAATATTTTTATTTTAATGAAACACATGCAAGATTGCAAGTTCTTTTCATACAATGCTCTCGCTACTGCCATCAAGAATGAGTTCAATAATGCTTCAAATGTTAATGTTATCTTTAACAAGAAGTTTGTGAAAGAATCTAAGTTTGGTCAGTATGTCAGACCATTAGCTATCGTCATTGACCGCAAACGTTATACTTCACAAGAGTTAGCAGTAGTTTTGAAACAAAAGAGTTTCTTCGTGAATGTCAAAGATACTCATTATACTGTTATAAAGAACTCTAACATTGACTTCTTCAGTATTGCTTTAAATCTTTCCGAACAGAAAGAATATAAGAAGGGTGAAACATCTGTGAAATATTATCCTTCATCTCTGAAGACAATAACGAACAAAGATGTTATACAGAAATTCTTACCAAAGGTTGAAGAAGCTTCTATTGACATTGACGAAGAAAGTGAAATGGTTGAAGAAATAGACCCTGAAGCTATTTAAGCAAAAATATATTTTTGAATAACTGAAAGTGTCACCACGTCACCATGTGCTACCAGGTTAATTAACTTCTTTTAAAAATGATGACAACATGACATTTTGACAACAGTCCAGGAAATAAATTTTATCGTTAATGTTTACGTTAATGTTTACGTTAATGTTTTTCATTAAATTTTGTCAAAGTGCAAATCTTCACTTCGTCAAAAAGTTAATGTTTTTCATTAAATTTTGTCAAAGTGCAAATCTTCACTTCGTCAAAAAGTTAATGTTTTTCATTAAATTTTGTCAAAGTGCAAATCTTCACTTCGTCAAAAAGTTAATGTTTTTCATTAAATTTTGTCAAAGTGCAAATCTTCACTTCGTCAAAAAGTTAATGTTTTTCATTAAATTTTGTCAAAGTGCAAATCTTCACTTCGTCAAAAAGTTAATGTTTTTCATTAAATTTTGTCAAAGTGCAAATCTTCACTTCGTCAAAAAGTTAATGTTTTTGGTTAGTCTTCATATCGATATTTTACAACAATTCCCCAATGTATAAACTTTTCATACGCTTTTTCATAAGCTTTATATACCTTCAGAAATTTTGCATAATCTTTAGAAGCATTTAGATATTGTTTAAATGCTTTGTATGTCTTCAGAAATTTTGCATAATCTTTTACATGTTGTTCGTTCTCTTCTTCTGTCATGAGTTCCGAATATTCTAAATTCATGTTCTTTCATCTAAGCTAATTTTATAAAAAAATAAAATTAGCTTAGATTTTTTTATTCTTCCTCTTTGAAGTTGTCGAAATATTCTGTTATCTTTTCTTTCAGTAATGTTAAGTCTTCTTTGAATGTAAGTATTGTACAACCTTTCATATCATAGTGTGTTTGAGGAAGAGTATTTTTGACAATTTCCTTTATTTGCTCATTTGGGGTCATTGAAATCGGTAAGTTTTCGCGATAGAACCAATTTCTGTCAGATTTGTAAATCTTAGCAAGGTCGTAAAAGCTTTTGTTGTTTCTTCTGACTAAATGCAACATAACCATGTCACTGTCTTCTTCTTTCTCCAACTCTTCAGTATATATCATATACTTATAACTCTTTTCCTTTCCTTTTGGTACTGAACGCGGTATTCTTTTCTGTATGCTTTTGTCTTTGGATTCAATGACTTCATCTTTTGCTTGAAGTTTCTTTTCCATCTCTCCACGTTCTGCTTTATATAGTTCATCTAACATCATGAAAATATAACAAGCATAACGAGGTGAAGCCCACATTGCTACAGCATTTACTAAAAGTCTATGAACATAATAACCTTTCAAACCAGGAGCCAAATTCTTGCGATTTTCGAATGGAATCTCTTCCCTCGGTTTTCCGAGGGAAGCAATCATATGAGGAAATTCTTCTAAAAGTTCTTTTGTCTGTTGGTTTTCAAACCAATGATATGCTTGCTTTGTAGAACAAAGAGCATTCATTATACTTTGCATTTGGTACATGTCATCTTTGACTGAACGAATGAGTCTCAATTGTTTGTTATACTGTATGTATTCGTATTCTTCATTTATGGCTTCATGAACGATAGCAGTTGTTGTGTTCTCTGATGTTGACATTACTGTCTTTACATACAAAATAAAAAAATAAATAAAAATAAAATTAGCCTTTTTTTTACATTATGACACGAAGTGAAGATTTGCACTTCGTCAAATTTTATTAAAAATTAGCCTTTTTTTTACATTATGACACGAAGTGAAGATTTGCACTTCGTCAAATTTTATTAAAAATTAGCCTTTTTTTTACATGTATTTTTCAGCAACTTCGTCAAATAATTTTATAGCTTTATCTATCTCATCTACTTCAAACGTTTCTTTACCTTTTATGGGAGCACCATACATTTTCTCAAACTTTTCGAGTAGTTCTGTTTCTGCGGCTCTCATATCATTAACGAACACAACCGTGACTCTATTGACTGTACTGTCATATCTTTGAGTTATATTATATGTTCTTCCTATCTTATATCTCTTTGTATTGAAGTCCTTCGGTTTCTGAACGATGTAAAGTAAGCCTTCACTGCAACGTTCCGTATCGAATGAACCATAAGTTATGAAGTTATATCCAACAACTGGGTCTAACCATAACAAAACTATTGGTATAAGACTTTTGTCAATGAGATATGCTGTAGTTCCATAGAATCTTACTGATATCATAAGCTCAGGATTTCTTGTCAAAATTTTCTGAGTTGAAGCATTTCTAACCCAGTGGTTTGTTTTCTTTTCAGATGGTGTCAGAATGTCTGACAAAGAATATTTGTTGTATTTCTTTGAGTATCTTACGTTTAAATCACCGATTCTAACCACTTTGGTGTCATTGTCAATCTTTCTAACTGTTTCAAACTCAATGTTTGACATTACTGTCTTTACATACAAAATAAAAAAAATAAATAAAAATAAAATTAGCGTTATTTTCTAACTAATGAAATTCATGAAATTTGGTCATTTTTCAGTAAAAATATATTTTAGGTGAAGAGGTGAGATCTCACCTGTTTTCTCACCTCTTTTTTTCACAAGCGTTTTACATGAATTGTACGATGTATATTTGAAATCCTAAACAGTTTTGTAGCCTCTATTTCTTCTTTTAGTACATCGAATGTTTTAACTATGCCGAAGGTTTCTTTATATTTCTTCTTGACGTCAGATAGAAGGAAATCTTCTGCTGTTGGATAGTTTTTGTTCAGAAATGCTAACATGTCCATTTTATTTTCTACCGGCTTCTCTGCTTCTTTCTTTAAGTCTGCATAGTCGTTTCTCATACGTTCTATCTCTTTGACGGAGTAGTTATATTTCCTCATTGCTGCTTTACATTTAGAACATTGCGGGTTCATTTTTGCGTTATATTCTGAAACCTTACCAGCTAAAACAACTAAAGCGTCAATTGCTCTCTTCATCTCAAACATAGCGGGTCTTATTTGTTTGTTCCATACTTTGCCTCTTCTATCTTTATCTCTTATCTGCCATACACATTCAGCAACTAACGAAACAAAGTTGTCGTAGGTCTTAAATTCTTCAGATTTATATATGTCAGAAACATTCTTATATACCATGTCGCAATCTTTGTCCATAACCTTATGGTTGCAATGAAAACCAAGGAATTCATAATTTACTTTACGTATGAATTTCTTAATTTCTACTGAGTCAGTTGTTTTGACTTCAATTTCGTCGAATTCAGGAATAGTTAGTTTTTGATGCTGAATTTCAGGTAGTTTAGGTAAATAGTCGATGAGGTCCTCCATTTCATAAAGATACTGTTCATTTGTTTCATCTTTCGCACTACAGTCTAAATTACTTGTTAAAAGTTCTTGCTTTATCTTCTGGATTTCTGTTTCAAAAGTATATGAAGGAGGAATAAAGCTTTTCATCTCTACCAACATTGACGTAGGATTCATGACTAGCGAGTTTGGTGCTGTAGTTGTTTGAATTGTTGTTGTGCCGATTGTTGAAATCATATCTTTTATACAAAATAAAAAATAAAAATAATTTTAAAACTAACTTTATTTTTTCTATCTTAAGGAAATTCATGAAAATTCACGAGGGTGAGAAAACAGGTGAAAAAACAGGTGAGATCTCACCTCTTCACCTAAATTATATTTTTGGTGTAAATTTATGACAAAAATAAATGGTACCATTAATGATATCATGACTGTTCTCATTCATGTCTGATTTACATCTAATGAAAAAGTTTAGAAGAATTTTCTTATTCTTTCTGGCATATTTTTGTCTTTCCAGTACTCCCGCTCTAATGGTCCCAGATGTGTTGGCTTCGACTCTCTCAAGTTCTTAGATGGTATAACATCTTCAACGCCTCCTTCATATCTTACTTTATAAGTGTCATCGTTTATGTTGTAGCCAAGTATTTCAATAACCACTCCTCGCTTTGCTTCGTCAATGGTTTCAGCAAGTTTGCCATTACTACTTTCGACTAATTTATGACGAGGGTAAAATGCTATGGAGTCGTCAGCAGCTTTTATAAGATATCCATTACCTTGCGTAGAGTCTACGATATAATAATTTCGACTTAACCTTAAACGTTTCTTTG